ATGCCTTAGAGACATGGATGGGAATGTACACACTTATAAAGCGCGACTGGTTGCGAAGGGCTTTACTCAAACTCCAAGAGTTGACTATGATGAGACCTTCTCACCCGTAGCGAAGATTAATTCTATTAGGGTTTTGCTAGCCATAACTGCATTTCATGATTATGAAATATGGCAAATGGATGTCAAAACTGCTTTCCTTAATGGAAAGTTGGCTGAGGATGTTTACATGATTCAGCCAGAGGGTTTTGTCGATGCAAAGCACCCTAATAGAGTGTGTAAGCTTGAGAATTCTATCTATGGATTAAAGCAAGCATCTCGCAGATGGAATCTTTGTTTCGATGAGAAAGTCAAAGAGTTTTGTTTTTCGAGGAGTGAAGATGAGTCATGTGTATATGTTAAGGCTAGTGGGAGTATAGTTAGCTTTTTGGTATTGTATGTGGATGACATACTACTCATAGGAAATGACATACCAACCCTGCAGGAAGTTAAGTCCTGGCATGGGAAGTGTTTCGCTATGAAGGACCTTGGAGAAGCTGCTTATATCCTGGGGATAAGGATATTAAGAGACAGGAGGAAGAGACTAATTGGACTTAGTCAAAGTACCTACTTGGATAAGGTGCTGAAAAGGTTCAGCATGCAGGATTCCAAGAAAGGTGACTTATCAATCCAGAGCAACGCCAAACTGAGTAAGACTCAGAGCCCGAGTACAGATGATGAGATAGCTGAGATGAGTCGAGTGTAGTATGCTTCCACTGTAGGCTCGATCATGTATGATATGACTTGTACTCACCCTGATGTGGCCTTTGATTTGAGCATGGTCAGCAGATATCAAGGGAATCCGGGCAAGGCTCACTGGACTGCGGTGAAGAATATTCTCAAGTACCTACGGAGGACTAGGGACTGGGTCCTTACCCTTGGTGGGAGTGTTGACTTGAGAGTATAGGGGTATAGTGATGCTGGTTTCCAGACTGATAGGGATAATTTCCGCTTTCAGTAGGGTTGGGTCTTTACCCAGGAGCAATTACTTGGAAAAGTTCCAAACAAGAAACAGTAGCTGATTCAACTTGCGAATCAGAGTACATAGCAGCAAGCAAGGCAGCAAAGGAGGCAATATGGCTAAAGAACTTCATTGGAGACCTTGGAGTTGTACCAGCTATTAAGGAGCCTATGGAGATTTTCTGTGATAACGAAGGTGTAGTTGCCTTAGCTAAGGAACCAAGGGATCACGGCAGATCCAGGCACATCGACAGAAAATACCACTTCATTAGACATCGGATAGAAGAAGGACTCCTCGTGGTAAAGAGGGTATCATTGGATGAGAACCCAACAGATCCCCTCACGAAGGGACTGTGTAGGGCTAAGCATTTGCAGCATGCGAGGCGCATCGGGCTGAAGGATGATATTAGTTTTACAGATTAGATAGTTTTTCTGAAACTTGTACAATGTAATTGACATTTGATGATTAAATAAAAGTTGTTGTTTATTTATAAGTAAAGTGTTACTATCTTGTGTCAATTGTTTACTATTGTTTCAATTTTGCATGTTTTGACTTCCAGAATAATTACTTTATTCAAACTCTCCACAATCAGTCATATGTTGGAAGTAGGTATGAATCAAGACTGTCATGAATTGGGTTTGTAGATTTCTAAGGTGTTAGACATAGCAAAACTTGCTACAACATTCATGAATGCTCATAAGTTCTGAGTATTGGATTCAACCCACGCTCACTTGTATCACTTCATGGAATTTATCTCTAGTGATCGTGAGACGGTAATATCATATAAGTCTTCAAACCTATAGATATGAGTTGTTTATTATGAGTTGGTTGTGCATTGAGTGTACGAAAACGCATCGGTAACTCGATGTTATAAAACGTGCTTTTGTGTATGAATCAACAAGTAGTTAGTACAAGCATATGAGTCGAAGTTTATATGTTCCGTTTAGTCCTTGGAGGATTAAAAGCGATATCTGGGCCCCTCGATGATTTTGTTTTGACCTATGTGTCAGGCCCGGTCAGAACCAAATTGATGTGTTTAGTTTAGTTCTATGCCAAACGAATTGGAAATCGGGAAACAAACTGCTGGACAATAAGTACGGCATTATTCCATGTATTTGTCCGGCTGATATCTAGAATAGAGGATTATATGATCACTTATCTTAAATGGCGCATCATCATCTTATTTCCGCGAGACTTTGAAAGAGCTACGATTGATGGTCGGTTCCTGAAGTCATACTTGCAACTATAGTTATTAGACTTATCCAATTGGGAGACTGTTAGATAAGGTGTCTAAGTCCATAACTATATTTTGTATGTACTTGACCCGGTTTGGCATGGTCCATTTGGGTTGCATGGCATCTCAACAATTGGATAGACAAAATGAGAATAAGGGCACTTATGATTTGTTAATATATTCTAATATATTAATATGAAATCGTATTATTTAATTAGTATTGATCAAGAATTAATTTGGAATTAATTTTGTGATCAAAAGAGACTAATTAAATATATGAGGATTGAGTAGGTAAATCTTTCATTCTTATATAGTGGGCTTATGGTTCATGATTCACTAGATTGGGCTAGGACCCGTTGGGTGCTCCATGGAGGTTAAAACCCATGGATCATGGGGGAAATGAAAAGCCATGCACATTAGGGTTTACATGGTGTAACCCTACATGTGACACACTATAAAAGGAACCTCATAGTAAGCAAAATCGACCACTAAGACTAAAAGAGTGAGGGCTATACGATTTTGTGCTCAAGTGTTCTTCTCTCTAGTTATTCCAAGAGTTGTGGTGTTGTGTGAAGCATTTGAGGCATCACATTTGGGGTGCTAGGCTCACAAGGTCTTAAGGAATCCAAGCAACTACAAAGGTATGTCATTCTACTAGTTTTTTATATTACAAGTACCCCATGCTATGCTAGCTAGGATGAGAACCTTGGAAAATTCTTATTTGCATGTATATTAGAGAAAACATAGATCCAAGGTTTCTAGGGTTGCATGTACACCATAGGAGTGTTAGAATGCTCAAAACCCATCAATAACTTGAGTGTATCAAAAACTTGCTATGATACCAATTGAAGGTTAATATCAGTCGGATACACTTCAAGTAAAATAAACAAACAACAAACAAATTAACTAAACAAATAAAGAATAGAAAAGTAAAGAACATGAGATATTCACAAAGTTGCCTTTCACCAAGAAAAGGGGTTTTAACAAGGACGGTCACCAAGACGATCAATGACACCAAGCCGTTCTACATTAGGGTTTCACCCTAATGTTGTATATATACTAAACTATACTAGTATACCCCTTCAATCAAGGGATTGTATCTAATCTATACAAAGAACTGATCCTTATCACAAAGATATCGGATCTGCTATCTATTATATATATATATATATATATATATATATATATATATATATATATTAAGTTACCTAATATATAAATATTACATTAGATTATACAACTACACATTGATGCTGATCTTCATGAGGCGCTGACGCTAGTGTTGATATTGGCGTTGGCACTGGCGGTCAGCGTATAGAATGTTTGACTCATCATATCATAAGGTGTGTGTGACCTTACAACTCTTTATCCAAAATTTTCTTATTTTTCTTCTATATTTTCATTTGGAACACATTGACACTGAAATCCTCTAGGTTTTGGGTATTACCAACCCATACCAAGATTTTGCAATGTCGGGCTTATGATTTCATTTAAAATTACCATAAGTGAATGAGGCCCTACCTTAACTAATGAAGACTGGTTCTTGGAAACTAATGAAGCTTGGTGACTGTTCAATTTATCGGAAACTAACTACCATAACAAGATTTTATTGGTTGAGAAGTGACGTTCCCATTGCTTTATCTTGGATCGAGAAAAATACTCATTATGTGTATATGTGCAAGATCGGGATGGTGTCGCTTTAGTTACCTACTATACACACGGTAATTATTAATTGGGTCTTGGTTCAAATTTGAATTTCATGCCAGTTATAAAAGGCAACTCTGTGGTTTAATTCATTCTTTCCGGCTCCCTGAATTCACGCAAGAACCCTAAACTTATTTTTCTAATCATAATCAAAATTCTCTTCTCGATCAACATGTCTACTACTAATATCATTCTCGGTTATTTTAACACAATTGACGATGAATTTTCTATTCCTAATATGAAGATTCAATCGCACAATGTATAGTTTAATCCTACTTTGTATGTGTACCCTAAAGAATTGAAGATGCTCGTTCATTGTTTGAATGATTCAATTATTGCTCATTATTTTGACGACTTCTTTTGCAATTCTGATGAGATGGATATAATTCATAAGTTCTAAAATAGGTTACAAAAAATGGATAAAGTTATTACATTTCAGATGGAACCCAAGGGTAACAAACGCTTACACAAGAAACAGTTTACAAAAACTCTTCAGTTGCCTTCTGAGGGTTTATTTGAAGTTCCTACGACTGAAAATGTACTTCAAATGTTTAATAAAATAGGATACAATCCTCAAATTTCTCTAGTTAATAGTTTTAAGAAGTCGAATCTTCCAAGTGTGTGGAATTTTTTCATTGGTGTTACTCTCTGTTGTTTAACTGGAAGGAGTTATGGACTTGACACAGCCAAAACTCAATTTTATTCTGTTATGGCTGGTCTGTATTATGGAATGAAGGTTGATTGTGCTTCGTTATTGTGGGATGAGTTTATAACATATATCAAGCACTCGAAGAAGACTACAGAGATTGCTAGTGCTCGTTTTTGGATTATTTTTTTGCATGAAGCTTATAGTCAAGAAAGAATTTTGGTTCTTGAAGGTGTTGAGGTTTCTCAACTCTCACATCTTAATATTCCAAAGGCTGAAATTGATGATTCTTAGTATTTCCTGTTGTTGGGAGGATTCCATAGGCTATGCTCCAATTGGTGTCTGATATGAATCAATTATTGATTTAATATAAAGCATCATTAAACCTTACTTCTTATGCTCCTATTCCAAAGAAAGTGATGTTTAAAGTGAATGAGGGTTCATCTAAAGAATCTCAAGTTTTTAAGAAGAAAGCCCCATCTCAACCTAAATTCACAATTGATATTAGTGTTTCCAAAGATGTGGCTCGACACAAGAAGAAATCAAATTTGAAGTCGGGTATTGTTAATAAGGAAGTTACTGAAGAAGAAGCACAACAAAACAAGAAGCATAAAGCTACAAGATTGTTGAAACGTTTTAAGAAGCTAAGAGCTCAGACGGTTGAAGAGATTTCAACCACAGCGAAGGTTGTTGATGGAGACAAAGATAGCGAAGAGATGGAGGAAATGATTCATAAAACTGATGATCTTACATTTCATGTTTCACCACGAAAGGATGCCACTGTTGAATCGCATGGCGAGGAGATAAGCAATCAAGACGTCACTGTACACACATATAATGTGGATACAAACATCAATACTGGTGCAACGATTTCAACTTCGATTGCTGAGTTGAAAATTGTTACTCCACCTGAAGTTCCTAGTTCCAAGTCCAAAATGGAGGAGGATAGATCTTCAAACATCTCTGAGAGCTTATATGATAATGACTAAAATGTTAATATGGGTGAGAATCCTTCGACATCAGTTCTAGTTTCATCGAGTACTTTACCACCACCTTCGTCACCACAACCATCTTCAATCACTCCACCTACCATAATTCCTATTTATTCTCCAACTTTTGACAAAATAATGCAAAACCTATTACAACATTGTTCTCTTAATAATCCACTGATCATGATATGACGAATGATGAAGAAGATGAATATATAGAGTCTGCTGAGTTAGAGTTTGATCCAACTGAAGAATATGTCAAAGATCATGTTATAGTGTCTGGAAAGCAGTAGAAGATGCCCAACTTGAAGTTGAATATTATTCTTCAATTCTTGAATGATTCACCCGCCTTTACAACGTCGTTAGTGACTAGAGATGATGTTGAATTTTTATTGAAAGGCCAAGAATCGAACACACAAAATCTTGTTTATAAGGAAGTTTCTCATCTGGAGACTCGTATTTTTCATAATACGTCTTCTCTCACATCTGATCTTACAAAACTTAAAAGTGTGGCTCGTGAGTTAGATGAGATTTTTGGGAAGTTGGTGAACTATTTGAAAGATTCTATTGAGTTGAAGATAAAATATTTGGTTGATTTACTTTCTAAAAGATTACGAATCTTGATAAGTTTTGTGTACGTATAAAGGATAATGTTGATGTTCTTCTTGGAGTAACTCGGACATTAATCGAAGATTTTCGTGTTTTCAACAAAGATAATGTTGTTGAATTAAAGTAAAAGAAAGAATTTTAAAGGAAGGTATTTACAAGTACTTAAAATTCTCCTATAGGTTTTCATGATCGTCTATCAAAGCTTGATATTCCATCATCTACTTCGATATCTCAAGAACAAATATCTCAGTGGTTTCTTCATTGGAATCATCCTTTGAAGTAAACTTGATCCTATATTAGATATTTTTCTTCGATTCCGCACTTATGCTCCATGCCCATCCATGATCGTGTCACAAGGGTGAGATAAGGGTGTTGGTTCTTTGAAATATGGTGGAGTAGACAAAGGAAAAAGTAGTTGGTGTTGGATTAGGTGCATATGTCCATAACTATAATTGGTATGTACTTGACCCGATAGTAGCATGGTCCATTCCGGGTTACCTTCACCAGAACAATTGATAGATGGATATTTGAGAAAGAGATTATTTATGATTTATTAATATATTATAAGAATAATATATATTAATTGAGAAATCATATTATTAAATTAGTATTGATCAAAAATTAATTCAATTAATTTAGTGATCAAAAGAGACTAACTAAATTGATACATATGGATTGGGCTAATGATCCATGATTGATTTGTGATGGGCTAAGCTTATGGGTTAGTCCATTAAGTGTTAGTCCAAATCAATTGTTGGATCATAAGCTTAAGTGTAAGAATTATGGTTACTCATGACTGTTGGAATTCTACACTATATATATGTAACTCTAAGCCTAAAATCGGTGATCAATTGCATTCCAAGAAGGGCTAGCCGATTTTGTGTCTCCAAAACCTCTCTCATATTCATCTAGTTGTTTATTGGTGTTTGTGACTTGTTTGAGGCACAACACTTGGGGTGCTAAGTTCTCTTAAGGCCAAAGTTCTACTATCTACATTAAAAGGTAATCTTCTAAATAACTTTATGATTCATATATCAAATTTCGTATGCTAGTTTAGGCTTCATGCTTTGGAAACCAATATTGCATGTATAATTAGAGAAAACTTAGATCCAAATCATTAGGGTTGTATGTGCATCATAGGAATATTAGAGTACATAAAACCCAACAGTGGTATCAAAGCCATGGGTGTTTTCTATTATATTGATGCAATTGTGTAATTACAAAGCTGAAAAAACTGCATTTCTGGATTCTGCCAGGGCCAAATCGGCGAGTCCATCATGGAACTCGACAAGTTGGATCATATGATGATGAACTCGACGAGTCCAAATTGGGACTCAACGAGTTGGATCATCAGATGGCAGAATTTTCGAGTTTTTGGCCTGTTTTGGATTAGGATCATTACCACAAACTGTTTTGGTTCATAAAATTCAATTTTACTGATATGGTAATGTCTATCCCCATCCAATAACATAATCATTGTCAAATTTTAACATAATTACTTTATTTTGTGAAAAACTAGTTATTTGTAAAATTTGAAATTATATGAATAATATTAGGTCAATTGGTAAATGATAAATTATATGATAATGTTATTCGTTAAATTGATCTAAATGTTTCTTGAAGAGTTTCATAACTTGTCCTCAAGTTATGAAATATGAAAAGTCATCATTCATGAAACATTAATTTTTTAAGTTATAGAATTCCAAAGGTCTTAAAGAGTTACATAACTTGTCCTCAAGTTATGGAAATTGGAATGTCTCTTTTGTGGAACATAAATTCTAAAACTAAAGAGGTTTTGAAGAGTTTTAAAACTTGCCCTCAAGTTTTGGAATTTGAAAAGTCTCATTTATGAAACTTTAGTTCCAAACCCTAGACTTTTAAAAGTTTAAAATTCAACCCTATACTATTATAAGCTTAAAGTTTAATATATATATATATATATATATATATATATATATATATATATAATTCAAGTCAGTCTTACCGTTAGTAGGCATCATTCACGAAGCCGGTCTATAAGAGGGTATAAGAAAATTGCCTATAAAATGAAGATTGAATGGGTGTCCACTCTCACCCACCGCTACCTTGATTGGTGGAGGGTCGTTAGCCGAACGGGTAGGATAAGACATTAATTCTCATTAAAAAGTATAATGATATTATAAAGTAACTAAACTTTTATAAATTCCCACTCTTAGTTACTTTAGGAAAAATGTGAAAATGGTGCTAGTCCATGGAAATTGCACTTTGCACTTTGCTAAGTCGTTAGTGGAACATGTCTGGTTAACCGACACACTAATTTGGGACTAGAAAGGGTGGCAAAGGGTAGCTTGATGTTAATCATGGATCAATGGAGCGTGTGTGGTTAACCAGCACATTGATCAAGTGATATGTAACATTAAGAGTACCAAGCACATTAGCATGGTTATTCACACCTTGTTTGTGATCCTCGGTATCCCAGTCACAAATTTGAAGGGCATAATCGAGATTTAAACATGCCATTGAAAAGTTCCATAAATCTCAAAAGAATCTAGGAATTTCAATTCATCTAAAACTTAAAAATCAATTTCGTTTTTCATGGTGGAAATTGGTAAATCGTCATTTACCGACCTTCAAATATTTTACAATTGGATTACGGCATCCCTCTTCCGAATTGTAGAATATTGTGTTAGGTCCTAGCCTTAATATTTCATTTGGGTGTTATATTAAGCATCCTTATCTAATCTAAACTTTGTTTTTCTTTTCAGATGTCTACTTCGAACGATGCTTCAAACCCAATCCCTTTCGGCTCTTTCTCCCTCATGAACTTATGTGGGAATGTCATCTTTAATGGATCGAAATTCAATGATTGGATTCGAAACATCCACATGGCCATTCGGTACGAGGACAAAGAATATGTCCTCTATAAAGAGCTATGGAGATTGATGAAAACACTGCTACTCCCGAACAGATTGCTGAGTATAAGAACCATGAGAAGAAAGCGACAAAGGTGTCGTGTATTATGATTGCTACCATGACTGCTGAGCTTTAGAAGTCCTATGAGGACTTTTGGCCTTATGAAATGCACCAGGATTTGATAGAAAGGTACCATCAAAGTGCTCGGCAGGAAAGGTATGAAATCATTGCCTCCATGATTACTACCAAAATGAAGGATGGAGAGTCTATCATGGCCCACTTGCAAAAGATGCAAAGGTTTGTGGACCGCTTGCTAAAGTTGAATGTCAATTTCGATGAAGAATTGGCAATTGACAATATCCTACACTCTTTACCTCCTTGTTATGATCAGTTTCGTATGACTTATCAAATGAACAAGGAAGAGGTCACTCTAAGCAAGCTTCAAGGTCTTTTGAGAACTGTTGAAAGCAATTTGAAAGGCAAATCTGTTGTACCTACTCCTACTAATACTGATGCCCATGTCTTGGCAATTGGACATGGGAAGGGAAAGAAGAGGAAGGCTCCTTCAAAGAGCCACAATGGAAAGTCTCATGATGGATCCTCGTCTAGTGGGACCAAAGTTGGTTCTGCTAAACCCTCTCCCAACCCAAAGGAAGCAGAGTGCTTCCATTGTAATGAAAAAGGGAGCTGAAAATGAAGCTGTCCCAAATACTTGCAGGACATAAAGGATGGGAAGATCAAGCCCACCTTCGTAGGTATTTGCACTATTCTTTCTAATAACACATCACATGCTAATTCTTGGGTCCTTGATACATGATGTGGTTTTCACATTTGTTCTGATTTGTTGGGTCTAAAAGGAAGTAGGGATGTGGAGCACGGGAAGATGAACTTGATCATGGGCAATGGGAAAAAGTCGCATGTCACCAAGATTGGAGTTTATTCTTTATTGCTTAGTAGTGGGTTAAATTTAGAATTGAATAATTGTTGCTACTCGTCTGATATGACAAGAAATATTATTTCCTTTCATGGTTTGTATGAACAAGGTTTTACTTTTTCATTTAATAATGAGATTGGTAGTATTAATGCTTATTATAATGGTAAATTTTATTTTGAAGCATTGCCTTGTAATGGTATATATGAAACTTTGATGGTTGTAGATAACTTAGGAAATAATGTGTTGCATATCGATTCGTCCAATGGTTTGGATAAAGCATGCTTATGGCATTGTCGTCTTGGACATGTCAACAAGAAGCGCATAGCCCAGCTCCAAAAGGATGGAGTTTTGGAGTTATTTGACTTAAATTCAGATGACACATGTGAATCTTGGTTTCACAATTGACGCCACCCTTCACTGGTTCTTGTGCAAGGGGTGAGGGATTATTGGATCTCATACACACAGATGTGTGTGGACTTTTCAGATCCGATACAAGGGATGCTAACCGCTTATATGTGACTTTTACTGATGATTATAGCAGATATGGGTATATCTATTTAATCAA